ATCCACAAAATCTGGACCGTGGGGAACTTCACAACATTGCAAAGAATCCAAGAGGGAGACGGGGAAGGCGTGGGAATGGACAGATGAGCAAACACTTGAGAATCACACCAACCAATCACAGTGCAAGGATCTCATTTGGGTCCTGATTCAAACAAATTGCAAGCAACGCAACAATTATATGACAATCAGGGAAATGCGAATAATGGCTGGACATTTAAAGATAATAAGGAATATTAGTATTATTAATACTTAGATGTGATAATGACACTGCATGTTTTTAAAAGATTTCCTATCCTAGAGACATATGGAGATATTTGCAGATGAAGTGATGATTTGCATCTGAAGGATGATTCAAAATAAATAGGGGAGAGGAGAGATAAGGGTATAGATTAAACGAGCACCTGAGTGAAAGAAAGTAAAAGTGTTAGTCACTCAGTCGTGTCTGACTCTTTGTGACCTCATGGACTGTAGCCTGCTAGGCTCCTGTGTCCATGGAATTTTCCAGGCAAGAATACTGGAGTGGATAGCCATTCCCTTCTCCAGGGAATCTTCCTGACCCAGGGATCAAACTCTGGTCTCCTGCATCGCAGGCAGATTCTTTACCATCTAAGCCACCACGGAAGTCCTAAACAAGCGGCTACTCATCTCCAAAGGGATCCCAATGGTCAAATATGGGACAATCTGGGCAAGAAAATGACAGGAGGAATGGACTGTGACTCATGGAATAAAACAGAGATCCTTGAGTCCATGTTGCAATAAATTAAAAGGCAAACGGGAGGAAAAGGAAAGTTCTTCCTTACAGTAAATTCTAACGAATACAGAGGAACCACAGAGACGGAAAATCACCATTTGGCAAACACCATGGTAACAACTGTTACAAGTACAAGTTGTCCACGGATGCTGAAATTAGGAGAGGAAAAGAATGACTTGTAAGAGGATGTTCACATAGGATTAAAATACTCCCCCGCCCCAAGACACTTCCTAGTCACAAAGGGACACCGTAACTTTTAAGCGGAGAGCAGGGCCCCTCCGATGGGGGTCTAAGTGACAGCTACCAACAAAGGGCGGAGTGCCCGCCTGAGCCTCCTGAACAGACGCACCCCCGGGGCCAGCACTGCGTCCGTGAAACACACGACCAGGATTAAATACACCAGAAATGCAAAACCTACATTTAAATCGTGAGGAAACAACAGGGACATTCTATGAAAAAACTGACCAGTACTCTTCCAAAGGGCTTTCCAGGCGGCGTGAGTGGTAAAGAACCCACCTGCCAATGCAGGAGACATAAGAGAAGTGGGTTTGATCCCTGGGTTGGGAAGATCTCCTGAAAGAGGGCTTGGCAACCCACTCCAGTATTCTTGCCTGGAGAATCTCATGGACAGGGGAGCCTGGCGGGCTACAGTCCAGGGGTCTGCAAAGAGTCAGACTCGACGGAAGTGACTTAGCATGCATGCACTCTTCCAAAACTGCCAGGGTGCTGAAGGACAAAGACAGACAGGAACAGCTCACAGTAAAGGGTGTGGGGTGGGGGGTGGGGGGTGTGACACCAACACAGCACGTCCAGAAAGAGGGTCCCTGGGCTAGTCAGCACTGGAGTCAAGGCGGATTTCCCTCTTTTATAATCGTTGGGTTCTCGCTATGTAAGATGTTGGCCTTTGGGAAAGCTCTACGGACACATGGGAATTCTCCACACTATTTTTGCAACCTCTCTGTAAGTGGGAAACTGCTTCAGAATGAACAGTTAAACACAGTTTTTAAAAGTGCACCCCAGTGTTCATCGCAGCACTATTTATAATAGCCAGGACATGGAAGCAACCTAGATGCCCATCAGCAGACGAATGGATGAGGAAGCTGTGGTACATATACACCATAATGGCTAATTCATTTCAATGTATGACAAAAACCACTGCAATGTTGTAAAGTAATTAGCCTCCAACTAATAAAAATAAATGGAAAAAAAAAAGTGCTTATTAGCTGATAATTACTGATGGATACCTGGGGTTTCATTATGTTCCTCTCTGTCAACAGATACTTGAAACATTCCATGATAGAAAGTCAAAAAGAGACTGGTTTAAAAGACAAAACCACCTTATTTGGATTCAATTCAAAGAAATCTACATAAAAGACACTCATTTGAAAAGACCCTGATGCTGAGAAAGGTTGAGGGCAGGGGGAGAAGGGGACAACAGAGGATGAGGTGGTTGAATGGCATCACCGACTCAATGGACAGGAGTTTTCATAAACTCCAGGAGTTGGTGATGGACAGGGAGGCCTGGCGAGCTGCAGTTCATGGGGTTGCAAAGAGTCAGACACGACAGAGCGACTGAACTGACTGACTGAGACAGCCAGGGAAATTTAAATATGAGCTGGTATTAGATAATACTAAGGAATTACTACTGATTTTGTTAGGGAGGGTTTTTTTTCTTTTAGGTAGGGTTTTTTTTTTTTTTTACAACATGAAAAAATAACATAAAAGTTACCAATGTAGCGATTTTAAAGTGTACAAATCAGTGGCATTAAGTACATTCACCATGTTGTGAAACCACACCACCCCTGAGTTTCAGACACTTTTATCACCCCAAAAGGAGACCTCATACCCACTGGCAGTCACTCCCCATTCCTCCATACTCCCAGCCCTGGCAGCCGCTCATCTATGAATATTTTATGTCTCTGCGGATTTGCCTATTCTGGACATTGGGCTTCCCTGGTGGTTCAGCAGTAAAGAATCCGCCTGCCAGTGCAGAAGACCTGGGTTCGATCCCTGGGTCAGGAAGATTCCCCTGGAGAAGGAAATGGCAACCCAACTCCAGTATTCTTGCCTGAGAAATCCCTCACGGAGAGGAGCCTAGCTTTCTGCAGTCCTTGGGGTCACAAAGAGTTGGATACAACTTAGCAACTGAACAACAATAATTCTGGACACTGCATATAGTATACAAATGTTAAATATGTACAATGTGGCCTTTTGTGACTGGCTTCTTTCACTTACCATCATGTTTTCAAAGTTCATCCACACTGCAATATTTTTCAGTATTTAATTCTATTTACCACTGACATATTCTACTGGGACAACAGACCACATTTCCTTCACCCATTCACTTGATGAACACTTGCATTATTTCCACCTTTTGACTATTGTGAACAGTGCTGCTCTGTACATTTATGTATAAGTTTTTGTTTGAATACTAGTTTTTAATAGTTTTGGATATATACCTAGAAGTGGAATTGCTAAGGTCATACAATAATTCCACATTCAACTTATCATGGAACTGTTTTCCATAGCGGCTCTTTTCATAGTGGGTGCTCCACTGTACATCCAGGATTCCTATATTAGGGTTCCAATTTCTCCACATCCTCCCAACGCTTGTTATTTTTCTTTTAAAACTATTATGGTAGTCCAAGCGGGTGTGAGGTGGGATCTCACTGTGGTTTTGACTTGCATTTCCTGAATGAGTAATAATGCTGAACACCTTTTTGTGTTTTTACATTACTGTTAAACGTCTTAACGCATTGTAAGGTCAAAAACAACCATCTCTTTTTGAAAGGCATACTATGATCTGAAAGCATATAACATTAAGTGTTGGATTTGCTTTATAATACAACAGCAAAACAAAAAAGTAAATTTCTAAAAAGAACAAAAAGGGATAGAAGAAGGGAATGTGATATCATCTTTTAAATGTTGCATCTGCGTGATAGACAGATGAGGAGAATCACAGAGTTGTTCTGCTTTTGTGCATGTTTGAAATTTGCCATAATAAAACAAATCTTAACATTTGTCAATATGAACTGAAAACCAGGTTATTCATTCCTGTCACCTTTACCAAATAAATTCCTGCTCTACCAACCTCACAGGGTACTTCCTGTGAGGGACCTCTGAGACCTGCGTTTTCCGACTTTCAGGCGAGGTTTGGGTGCAGGGGGTCCAGATTTCCACGCTGTGTGCTCTTTTCCTAGGTATCGTGAGAGACCAGCGCTCCAGACTGGAACAGGCATGGGAAATTCTGGTCCAACAGGGCGGGAGCAGCAAGGGGACCCAGGGGGCACCAGCCTTGCCATAGGATGCTGACATGGTCCCCTGGTGCCCTGTCCAAAACGGACAGCAGGACAGCCTGGCTGTCTGCAGACACACACCCACTGTTCCTTCAACAACGCTGTCAGGACCCCACCGGCCGGAGGGGACCAGCTCACTGCACCTGGGAAGTGGGGTGGGAAGACACTAAAATCATAACTGCTCTTTTTTCCTTCAGAGATGTATGTTTGGAAGGCAACATGTGTCAAAAGCAGTTATAATGTGGGACTTCCCTGGTGGTCCAATGGTTAAGACTCTGCACTCCCAACGCAGGAAGCATGGGTTCGATCCCTGATCGGGGAACTAAGATCCTGCAGGCTGCCTGGTGTGGTCAGAAAAACAAGCTGTAATGTAATGGTGGCCAGGTGCATGATTTTATTCCTGCATATTCTTTTCATCTTGCTGGATGCTGTCTTTCCAATGAAATAATTTCAGTACACTGACCGGACTCGTTAATTCCGATCCTTCCAAAGAGGCAGCAAAAATCTTAGGAAAAGCCACAGGCGTTTCTCTTTCTCACTCTGGTCATTTAGTCATGAAGTCCTATCTGACTCTTTGCGACCCTGTGGACTGTAGCCCACCAGGCTTCTCTGTCCCTGGGATTTCTCAGGCAAGAATACTGGAGTGGGTTGCCATTTCCTTCTCCAGGTGATCCTCCCAACTCAAGGACCAAATCCTTACACAGACACTGATTTGATAGGTTGAGAACGTTCAGTGGGCCTCCTTTGCTGTTTTTCCCCGACATCCCAGTCAGATCAGCTCTCATGCCTGGGGATGGAGGAGGAAGGGGTATACCAGCTTGGCTGCCTGGTAACCTCCCCGGGGGTGCCTGAGCCCCCAGACTCATCTCAGGCACCCAGGCTGCCCCTGGGGAGCACGCTGGCCTCCCCCGACAGCTGCCTCTGTGTACACACTTCGGGGGGAGCCGGCTTACCTCGTGGGCTTCCACGCCCATCTCTTGCAGGGCGGACTTGAAAAACTCGGGGGAAGGCTTTCCCACCACCTCAGCTTTAATACCACAGGCATACTAGGGGAGAGAGAAGGACACAGCGTGGGTTGAGGACCAAGGGACGCGGAGGGGGGAACCCTGGCCTGGTGAAATCCTCCCCCCAGGGAATCAAAAAGAAACCCCCTAGTGTGTACCCAGGGGCCTCCAAGGGGCAAGACACGCGGGCCCAGAGGCACGCCTTGTGGGTGAGTGTCACAACCAGGCTGCCCAGGGTGCTGGGGGCACCCCCCCACCAGGCCCCTGCCACCTGCCCCAGGGCCAGACGACCTCCGACCTCCGGGACCTCCGACCTCCTGGGTGTTAGGGCGTTAGGGCGTTAGGGACGTTTCTCTGCATTTCTGCTTCCCCTCCCTTCCTCTCTCCCTTTCCCCAGCTCTGTCTCAGGTCCTCCAGTGGATAAAAGGCCCAGGGCCCCGCTATTGCAGGGAGGCAGGCGCCAAGGCGGCAGTGACCCAGGGCTGGCCTTAGCGGGGAGCCCAGCTGAGCCCGGCCCTGGAAACTGGAGGAGGGGACTGGGAAGGAGTCCAGGCAGCACACAGGAGTCTGAGGAGCTGCAGAAAGGCAGGCTGAGGCACGAGGCAGGTGCGCAGGGATCCAGGAGCCAAGAACCCGGAGGAGAGGCGCAGAGCATGCAGGGAGCGCCAGTGGGCAGAGGCCCGGGGTGCAGGGACGGGGTCCCGGGAGTGGGGCAGGGAAGGAGCGACAGGGAGCAAGGGGATGACCAGTGCAGCTGAGGGGCCAAGCTCCAGAGGAGGCGAAGGGCCGGGCTTAAAGCCATGAACACAGCGTCCAACTTGGAAAACACAAAGGCACTTGGGATGCCGAGCACCCCATCTTCTCCAGGAAGACTGGGACATCCAGGAAGGCCCTGAGACCAGAAGAGGGTCAGGCGGACCCAGGCAGGTACCTCAAGCGCCTTCATGTAGGGACCGACGTCCAGCATCAGGCCAGAGGTCTCCTTGTAGTAGCGTCTAGAAAAGAGCCGAGGGGGACAGGGTGAGCTGAGCCCAGGAACCTGGGAAGCGCCGAGGATAAACTGCCCTGTCCTGGTTCTGGGCCAGCCCAAGAGGGCTGAGTCACAGGCCAGGGGTGAGGGCAGACGCCACGCTGAGAGTGACCTACGGAGGTCAGCACAAGAGCCCAGCAGTGGCCAGCATGCCGGGGCAAGGAGGGGGGCCGGCTGGAGGAGGGGAGAGATGGGGGGCCAGCAGCTCTCAGAAGGCTCCCTGTTGCCAGCCGCATGGGGACCACACCACAGTGATGAATGGGGGACTCTGGAGGCAGCTGGGTCCAATTGCTAACACAGAGAAACACAAGTAACCTGTGTTCTGGGAAAGGGCAGCCGGTCCACAGAGCATGTGGTGAACCCCTAATTGCTAATAATTAACCCCTAATTGCTGCCTGGAGAAGAAAACTCCATTAGTTCCACAGCATCTCCTAGCAGCTGGAGGGTCAGGAGAGGTGCCAGGCCTCACGGGCGCCAGATGCTTCTATGAGACGACAACTGTTTCTTCCCTGTCTCACTGGAGGCCGAGACGGCTTGGCTCCTGGCATCGCCTCCTAAGCCGATCTCACCTCTTCCCTCCTGCCAGCGCTGTGCCCAGGCCGCACGCAGACCCCTCGGGGCACACACACACAGGTCCAGCTCTCTCGGAGCACAGCTCTTTGACTATTAAGTGGGGAGAAGGTAGTTTGTTTGCTCTGTGCTGCTCTGAAGGGAGGGTTAAACGGGACCCCAGGACTGTTAAACGTTTTAAGACCCATCACACCAGTTACCCTTCCCCGTTCCCATGACTGTCGAATCTGGGAGGCATGACACAACATGGATGTGACCTAAATGCCCTCGGACAGATGAATGGAGAAGACGTGACACATACACGCAATGGGATATTAGTTAGCCATAAAGACAGAGAGAAAGAACGCCATTTGCAGCAATGTGCATGGGCCTAGAGATTATCACACCAAGCAAAGGAGTCAGAGAGACAAACACCGTATGATATCACTTATATGTGCAATCTAAAAGAATGACGAAGATAAACAGCATGTATGTGGAAAAGCAAAGAGAAGACTAGTGAAGCCTGCTGACTTCAGGGCTCAAATCCTCTTCTGACTTGCCTTCAACTGTGGGACTCTGGGTTGCATACGCCCTCTGGGCCTCAGTCTCCTACCCTGTAAAATGGGCCAAAAGAAGCCCCAGTGCCTACCCTCGTGGGCTGCTGTGAGGCGTGAGCAAAACAATGCCGGAGAAGTTCCTAACGTGATGCCTGGGGAGAAACCGCTCCAAAAATGTAGCCACCCAGACAGATGGGCAATAAGATATGAGCCAGGGAAGAAAGAATGAACGCAGGTCTTTCCAGTTTGTGGGGGCCGGACCCTGTCCTGTGTCTGCTGGAAATGGTACAACCGAGCTCCCAGAAGTTGCCTCCAGCAGCTTCCTTCCTCTAGCCCTACCGCACCCAGGGACTCTGCCTGCCTCTCTGGGCCCCACCCGAGGCCTCCAAGGCTGCAGGAGCCGGGCCGCCCGCAGAGATCACCCCGACCCTCGGGTGGAAGAGGCACTCAGACACTCTGCATCCTCACTACCTGCCCCGGAACCTTCTGTCCAGACACAGGCTGGGCTGCAGCCAAACTCTTGTCCTTGGCAAGGGCTGGTCCCCTGCCACTGACCAGGCAGATCAGAGCCTGACTGCTGAAGCCATGGGGGCCTCTCCCATCATGAACGGACCCCTCCAAGTCAACTCGGGCCTCAAGGTCAGGGTCCAAGGCTCTGCACGCTAGGGGTCGTGCCGTGTGGACGTGACCCGGCTCGAAAGCCGCACATATGCAGGAAGGTGCCTAGAAGCCAGGAGAGAGCCACTGGTGCTCATGGAGCTGGGACCTGCCAACGCTCCCCGTCTTAAGGGAAGTGAAAGTGTCAGTTGTTCAGTCATGTCTGACTCTTTGCGATCCCGTGGGCTGTATAGTCCGCCAGGCTCCTCTGTCCACAGAATTCTCCAGGCAAAAAATACTGGAGTGGAGAGCCATTCTCTTTTCCAGGGGATCTTGCCGACCCAGGGACCAAACCCAGGTCTCCTGCATCTGCAGGCGGATTCTTTACTGAGCCACCAGGGGAGCCCCCCTTTTAAAAGAGTGACCCCAAAACCTAGGCTTAGAGGTTCCTAACTGTCTTTAAGTCTGGACTCTAGACATCTATCCTGTGTTTATACAGTCTCAAAACAGTGTTTGCTTTTATTTTTCCCCAGTTCCACAAGAAACTACTTGGGTATGATTCCCTCAGTTGGGTCCAGGGTTAGAAGGAGTGGCCAAGTAAAGCCAAACGTGGCCAAGAGGCAGAGGGGGACACCAGAAGCTAGGGCCTTGGCTCTTGGGGGGGCCGCTGGCATCCGCTAACTCAGTCCCCCAAGCATGCAGGACGAAGCTGTCCCGCACCCCTTTGCAGGGGACACTCTCAGACCCAGGCTGCTCCCCAGGGACTCCCCATCTGGTGGGGAAGCGGACAGGTCCACAGACAAATATGAAAGAGCAGGACCTGGGTGACGGCAAGGGGAACCCTGTGCTCTGCGCGCTGTGCTTGGGGAGGGCCGAGCATGTTGGGGACGGGGCGGCAGGGAGGCGTCCCAGAGGAGGAAGCACCAAAGCCAAGGCCTGAAGGTCAAGGGGGCGAGTGGAGGGGTCTAGACCTGGGAGCTCTCAGACTTGGGACCTTCCTGAGGGCCCCGAGTGCCAGATGCTGCTCCAGGTGCACGGGAGTCCGTCAGATGCTCAGAGGCACCCCCTTGTCCCCTACCCTCCAGGAAATGCCCAGCCAGGGTGAGACAGGAGGGAGCTGGGTCGGCGGGGGGTGGGGGGTGGTTCTCCGAGGGCGGGGCACATTGAAGAGAGCTGGGGCACGGAGGACAGAACCCAGGAAAGAATGCAGCCAGCCCAGGAGAGGACAACCCAGGCGCCGAGGAAAAAATTATAAAACAAGGCTGCTCTGTTACAACACACACAGCTCTGTCTGGAGCTGAGGATCCTAGGAGCCTCTGGCCCAGGACAGGCTCAGCTCCGAGCCGGCTGCAGGAGGCGGGAGCTGGCGGCACCTCCCCGTGGAAGGGCCTCCCAAGGACACCCATGCCGCACCGCTTCTGCCCGATGCATCCTCCCCCGAGTCTTCCTTCCAGAGTGACACCTTCTGACTGCACCTTCTTCAGTTTAAATTTAGTCCCGGTGGGAAGAAGAATCAGAACATGCGGCTGAAAAGATCCAATCAAAACCCTCTCTTTGCCACACTGATTTTTGGAACCTAAAGAAAAAAACTGACTTCCATAAATCAAAACGAGAAACCTTAATATTTCTTTTTAAACTAAATGTGGACTCGCTTTCACAGGGTCGAGAACTTGTCTTTCTTATTCATCCGGGAAAACAAAAAGGCATCTTGAAGGCCATCTGTTGGCCCAAAACATTTTTAGAGATACAGTAAACACTAGTACCCAAGTTAATTTTTCTTATCCCCCAAACACAAGAGATTTGATATATTTATTTTCTGTTACTGGCATAACAAAAGCCACAGCAGGTCTGGCTTGAACCTGAGTACTCAAGCCACAAAGAAGAGTCCGTGGATTCCGGAAAGACAGGAAAAACCCGGAGAGCAGCAGTCAGGTAGATTTTATGCTTTATTCCTCTGCCCTCCCTTCCGATTATTCGGCACAGCCTCCCTTCAAAATGACCACCTGACCTTTCCCACAAGAGCCATTAACCTTCCGTAGCCGGTCGCGTAAACAGCTTAATTTTCTGATGGAGGCATGACAGAAGAAATTACAAAGGCAATTCCCACTCTTGGTCCAAACAGATGCCAAATGTAAATCACTCCGTTTCCAGGACGAGGACATTCTGCCCCAGTGAATCCACCACCCTGCCTCCTTGGGGGCACCTCGCGGCCCCACTCGGGTGAAGGATGGCCCCTCATCACCGGTGACCCTCACCTGGATGTGACAGCAGCTCTTCCTGGGTCCTTGGGTTGTCCCAGGGGGCTATGACCTAAGCCCAGAAGCTGTTGGCTCCTTTCTCTGATTTCTGAGCACCCAACCCATAGCCCAAGTCAGAACCTCCAGCAGCTAGAGAACCCCTCGCTAGCTGCTTACTTGGAAAACAAATCTTTGCCTACTACTGAATTTGTTATAGAAGTACAAAGCTAAAAGAAACTGATTTCATTTTTTTTTCTTTCTTTTTCAACCACATACCTATTTTGCCTACTATCCCTGATCTGGAAAAATAACTTAATAATTAAAGATAATTTTGAAGAAAAAAGTTTTAATGTAAATGAGTAATAACAAAGCTTCTTAATTGTGCTGTTCTTTAGCGAGGGGTAACTTTAGGGATGCCTACAGGACCAAGCCAGGAACGTAAAAGAGTCAAGCTGGCCAGCTTCTGTGGTTTGCAGTGACCTAAACCACAGACGGTAAAGATCAGCAAGGAACTCTGGCAGCTAATTTTATGTCAACGTGACTGAGCCAAGCTGCCCAGATATTTGGTCTAATGGTATTCTGGATGCTTCTGAGAAGATGTTTCTTGGATGACATTCACATTTAAATCAGTGGACTCTGAGTAAAGCAGATTGCCCTCTATAATGTGGTGGGCCTCGTCCAATCAGTTGAAGGCCCAGCCAAAACAAAGTCTGACCTCTCCAAACAAGAAGGAGCCTGCCGGTGGACAGCCTTGGCACTCAGACGGCAGCTCTTCCCTAAGTCTCCAGCCTGCTGGCCTATGTGGGAAAAACCTAGCCTCCACAATTTCTCTTTATATACCCATCTTCCTCAACCTATGACAGGGTTATGTTCTGATAAACGCATTACAAGCTGAAAATATCATTAAGTCAAAAATGCATTTAAAAAAATGCATTTAATAAACCCAGCCTACCTTAAATACGCTCAGAACACTTATATTAGCCTATAGTTGGGCAGAGTCATCTAACACAAAGTCTATTTTATAATAAAGCACTGAATACCTCATGTAATTTGTTGAACACTGTACTGAAAGCGAAACTCAGAATGGTGGTCTGGGTACAGAATGTTCGTACGTGTATTAGCTGTTGACCCTCGCGATTATGTGGCTGCCTGGGAGCGGTCAGTGCCCAGCACCTGCCCAGCATCACCAGAGAGGACTGCACTGCCTGTGGGAAAGGATCAGAATTCGAAATTCGAAGTACGGTTTTTCTGAATGTGATAGCTTTCACACCATAGCAAAATCGAAAAGTTATCATTTGAACCACTGCTCAGTCAAGAACTGTCTGTATATACGTCACCACAGCCTGTTAGTTCTGTTTCTCTGGAGACCGCTGACTAACACAGGACACACTTTTTTGCATGATAAACACACTGGAATATTTGCAGCAGGACAAAGGTCCATATAGTCAGGGCTATGTTCTTTCCAGTAGTCATTATGGATGTGAGTGTGGACCATAAAGAAAGCTGAGCGCCGAAGAATTGATGCTTTTGAACTGTGGTGTTGGAGAAGACTCTTGAGGGTCCCTTGGACTGCAAGGAGATCCAACCAGTCCATCCTGAAGGAAATCAGTCCTGAATATTCACTGGAAGGACTGATGCTGAAGCTGAAACTAAAATACTTTGGCTACCTGATGTGAAAGAACTGACTCACTTGAAAAGACCCTGATGCTGGGAAAGAGTGAGGGCAGGAGGAGAAGGGACGACAGAGGATGAGATGGTTGGATGGCATCACCGACTCAACGGACGTGAGTTTGAGCAAGATCCGAGGGATGGTGAAGGACAGGGAAGCCTGGCGTGCTGCAGTCCGTGGGGTCACAAAGAGTTGGACATGACTTAGCAACTGAACAACAACAAAAGAAACATATCCTCTCTTCTCTTTCTTTAAATCTCTTTCACTTGCCTATTAAAAAAAAAAAAAAAAAAGCACAGCCATGAGAAAATATTTCTCTACTATGAGAAAAGCAACCGCCAGTACAAGCCGACCCTGGAGCCTGGAGATGGGCAGGAGGACGTGGTGGGGTCTCTGCTGCACCAGAGCTGAGGGACCAGTGGCTCCAGCCAAGTGGCAGCACATTCGGGAATGTGGGGCAAGTACCCTCAGATCTTCTGATTTTTCAAGAGAATCCAGAAATCCAGTTATTTTAGGTAAAGTCTCCCAATTTTTAAAATGGCCTCAAAAAAGTTTAAGATCTTGCGTGGACCCAATACCTGCTCTCGAATGGAGCCTAAAGGTGGCAGAGCACAGGCTCTGGGGGGCACTCCTGGCCACGCCCGCAATGACTGATGGGGCGACCGTGGCTCCCCTCACCTCCCTAGCCTTGATATACCCATCTGTAAAATGGCAAAGATGCTGCCTACAGCTCGCAGGGTTGTGGTCAGAATTAGGCATGGTGAACTACAGAATGCTTCACAATGGCCAGCGGCCAGATAAAACGTCCCCCTCGTGTCTACTGGAATAGCCACCCCCGTCCGGCAGGCAGAGGTGGGAACTCCCCAGTCACCAGAAGCACCTAAGTTTGGAAAAGGCTTCCCCAGGGGTGGCCACAGAATTCCTGCCCTGCGCGCGAAGCTGGGGTCGGGTTCCACAGCATCCTTGTGACTCTAAAACCCTAGTGCTGCTTCCACGGAGGACAGAATAAACCTGCACTGCTTTCTGGGAAGCAACTTGACAACACGCACCAAGAACCTCAAAAAATACACATCACCCGAGATGCTAGAAAGAGGCTGGTCACGGCCTTACTCAGAGAAAATCAGAAACAACCTACAGCAACTACAGGAGAGCCTGTAAGAAAAGTGAATGGGAATAAGCTCGCCACGGAGACGTCTACTTCTTATATGGAAGTGTTGGTCACTCAGTCACATGGGCCCCTTCGCGACCCCGTGGACTGTAGCCCCCCAGGCTCCTCTGTCCACAGGATTCTCCAGGCGAGAACACTGGAGTGGGTAGCCATTCCCTTCTCCAGGGGATCTTCCCAACCCAGGGATCGAACTCGGGGCTCCCACATTGCAGGCAGACTGTCTACCCTGAGCCACCAGGGAAGCCCTATTGTATGGAAAGTGGTTCACAAAATATTCGGTGAACGACTAAAATCAGGTGACGGAACTATGTCGAGTTAGATTCTGAAGCAGTGAACACACCCATGTGTAATGATTTCTGCAAAGAAAACTGCTTGGAAGGACACACACCAAAATGCCGACCGCTGTCTCCTGCGGTGGAACTGAAAACGCTGTTTTCCTCTTTTCACTCATCTGTATTCAACAGTTTTTCTTCAATAAAGATGCATTGTCTTGGTGATTAAAGAGGTTAAGAGAAATAATCAACACAGTGTTTTAAAAGAGGCGGTGAGGCCCAGGCTGCAGACTCGGACAAACATGCTGGTGAGAAAATGACAAGTTGACAGACTGCTCCACAACCAGAGGTGTGGGGCCCAGACGCGAGCCCAGGCCCTCTCTAGCCTGCTTTCACTGCTCAGGCGTCCGTCTCCTCGGCACAGCCCATCAGCCCTGGGCCGTGTCCTGTGACAATGACCGAAACTCGGCACGGCCACCCTGATCTCCAGGGGTCTCCTCTGTAGTGACCCACCCCTGCCCCCGGCCACTCCCAGCCACTCACAAGGAAGCTTGACCAACCAGCTGAAGACCAGGTCTCTGCTCAAAAATTATCAAAAGACAGGGATGACGAAACGAAGGAAAAAAGCAAGAAAAGGAGAGGGAAGGAAGAAGGAGCCACACTGCGTCCACCCCATGCCCACCCTTCCCAGCTTCTCTGCTGATTCCTTAAGCCAGAGAGACCCACGGAACACTGCCCGGAGTGGCTGGAAACGACTCCTCCCCAGCCGACTTACCCTTTTCCCAGTGAGAAAAGCACGGGGTTTTCCAGCTCCATGAGCACCTGGAAAGCTTTATTCATGTTTCGATAAGAAAAGTCTTCTCCGGCGTCTGCAATTACGACACAGTTTGGGTTGGACGTGTCGATCTGATCAAATTCCGAACGGACTCCTGGAAAGAGGGAGAGAGAAGGGTTCGATCCCTGGGTCAGGAAGATCCCCTGGGGGAGGGCATGGCAATCCACTCCAGTATTCTTGCCTGGGAAATCCCATGGACAGAGGAGCCTGGTGGGTTACAGTCCATGGGGTCACAAAAGAGTTGGATATAACCGAACAACTTAGGAATAACCACCACCACCAAAGTCTGCAAGTGACTTTGAGATGCATCAAAAAGATAAAGATGGATAGAGATGCAGGGATGGGGAGACGTATAATGAAGAAAACATAGCAAAATGTCATTGGTAAAGTCAAGGTGAAGGGCAAACAAATATTCCAAATAAAATTCTTTCAGCTTTGCCATCTGTTTGAAAATCCTTATAACAAAAGTTGGGGGGGGGGGGTTGGAATTCATCAACAATAAAACCTGAAAAAGATTCAAGGTCTGAAAAGACAGGGACACCTGTGCAAAACACAGATGCAAGAGTACAGGTGAGTACAGATGCAAGAGTACAGGGCCTCTGGCTTCTCCCACAGCTTCTCGAGCGCCAACATCTGCCTGTTGGACTCACTGATGAAAGACGTCTTCAAGGGGAACACTGAGTTTCCCTCTCATCTCTGGTAGGTACACCCCAACCCGTCCCTCTGCCCCTGCCCCGGGGAGGGGAGGATTTTCTCTCTTAAATCTTTCTGTTACTTTAAGGACCTGTTCTAAAGACACTGGCAAGGATCCCAGATCACAGAGGAAGCATTTCGAGAAAAACAATTTCTAAAGGCTGGGCATCTCGCCCTCGACTGGCGCCAGAGCTGTGGACTTGGCCTCCAGGCCTTCAGGGAGCTCTCTCCATTTCTGGGAGGCCCCTACCCCTGTCCGGGGGAAGAAAAGCGTGCTTGCCTCTGCCACAGGTTTGTAAATGACAACGTGGTTTCTGTGCAAGGACAGAAAAGTGTCCTAAATTCCGAAGCATGTACTGTCTCTTCTTTTTAAATATTCAGGAGGCACCAGGTAATACTGTTCTTTCTTCTTCATTTCAGCAAAACTCCCAGCTGAGGGTCAAAGGGACTCTGTCCTTGCCTTCAGACTGATGTTAGCAAGTAAACCTGTGCCATTAACCAGAGCATGGGGCTGGTTTTCACAAATACAGTTCCGAAACCTACAGACCTAGTTTTGCATCTATTCTGTTTGTCTGTCTGTCTCTCTTTCTCTCTCTCACACACATAGACACAGACCCCAGAGGCTAACATCTTGCCCCACTTGACAATTTCCTGCCACCTTGCTCCAACCTGGATCACAGAAAACAGACTCAGAGTTTTCCTGCCTCCAAGGAGACATATAGACTCTGCCTCTGACCACCACCCCACCCGACCCCAATCCCCAGGCCCGGGATGATGCCAGGATGGATGGGGCCAGGGTCCCAGCAGGGAGCCCCTGGGTTCCACCCCAAGGCCCACAGGTCTAAGAAGGGCCAGGTGCCCCCTCTGTGTCCTCCCCAGCCCCCAGCTGGAAAGGGGGTGCCTTCACCCCGCCTCTGAGGCTCAGGGGGCCTACCGTCATGGACGAGCAGGTGTGGCCGCAGGCCTCGCTGTTTCAGGATCAGGCAGGCGGCGGGGGCTGGGGCGGTCACCTCGCCCTCGGAGACATCGAAGCCCAGCCGTCGCAGCAGCCCCACCAGGTCCGCCCGTGACTTCTGTGACTCGTTGGTGCAGAACCTGACCTTCAGTCGGGACCGCTTCAGTCTGCAGAGGGGAGAGAGGTGGTGGGGGGCTGTCAGCAGGCAGCCCGGCCGCCTGGGGAAGGGCCTAGACGGGTGCTTCTCCGGGGGAAAACAGTCCAGAGCAAGCCGGGTCTCCACGGGCCCCTGAGCTGGGCCTCAACAGCCTCGCCGGACCCTGGGCTTTCTGAGCTGAAGACCCTTCTCATCCTCGCTGAGCTCGGCACACCTGAGACGCCCCGAGTTCCCATGTGACCTCCGCTTCTGCCTGGGACGTGGCCATGCCGCTCCACCCGGGACACATCTCCTCTTCACACGAGCCAATCTGCCCACCTCCTGGGACCCACTCGACACCTCCCCGCCCCACCCCGCACCGCTCAGCCTGGTGGAGTTCCCCTCTGAGCAGCCCAGCCACCCCTCTGGGCCCTCCCGCCACAGTGAGCATCTCCACTGAGCAGCTGAGCTGACCCGAGTATCCACGTTTCCCCAAAATGCAAAGGCTGAGGGGTCATAGGCCGACGTGTGCCATCTCGCCGCTGTCACTGAAGACAGGTCTGCCAGACGGAGTCATCGGGCGCACGGGCGAGCTAACGGGACGGGAGCCGGGGATGCCCGTGGCGTCGGCAGCTCCGACAGCCCGTCCGGGCCCACGGGAGGCCCTGAAGCCCCGCTGCACCCGGGACGGCTCTGCGAAGGCAAAGTCACAAAAGCCGGTGCCCAGAGAGAACCCAGGGAAATAACACCGAGCCCTTCGCCGACAGCGACTGAGCCCCTACTCACGGGCCGGCGGGGCTGGGCACTTGGACACGCCGCGGTGCCCGCGGGCGGGCCCTCTGACCCCGGAGTCCTCGGCCGGTGCGTGAGGCAGGAGACCGCACACAGGAGGGGCACAGGGGTCAGGACGAGAGAGGGGACGGGAAGGACCAAAGAGGTGAGGACACAGGACGGCCAGGGAGCGTGGGCAGGTCAGGCGGCCTCCCCGCAGAGGAGACGGCTCTGGAGCTGAGACTGGAAGGGAAGCCAAGAGACAAAGGAGCAGGGACCCCCAGGAGGAGGGGGCCCTGCAACAGTCGGCGCTGCGGGCGAGGCCAGGCCCCGAGCGAGGGGGTCAATGGGCCAGCTACCCGGTTTGGTCCTGAGCACACGGCCCTCCCTGGATGAACCCCGGGCCATGGCGTGGGGGCCCTCAGATTTGGCATCTGCTGAGAGCGTGGGATGGGCCGTGGAAGACACCAGGCCGCCAGTCAGGAGGTCCAAGAAACCCCAGGGAAAAGGGGAAGGGTCTGTCCAGCGTCCCCTTCTCCGACCCTCTGGGTGGTGCTGCCCGACTCTGCCTGTAGCCTGCTTTTCTTTCTGACGCTAACCTGTATCTCCAATCATTGCATGTTTGCGTTTGTCTAGCGTCTCTCTCCCGGACTCACGTGCTCCATGAGGTTAGGAACGAGGTCTGAAGGGTGGGCCCACGGCAGGCCCCTGACAAGCCTTTGCTGAATGACTGGGTGATGGCAAGTCCAGATGACGTCTGGTGAGGGGCACCCTGCCTTGGGACCACACCTACTACATCCCCTGAGGGCGCCCCGAGCCTGCAGCCGCCTCACTTCACCCCACTCGGTGGTGAAGACATGCATTCCCACGTTACTGTGAGCCTCCAGACCCGCCAAGCGCCGGAGCCGACAGGCGAGACCTGGGAAGAAATGTTTGGTCTTACTGACAGCGGGGCGAACAAACGCAGACGGGAAGCTGACAATGTCGTATGATCAGCAGCCCAGCTTTCAGTCCTTTCTCAGTATTTGTCTTTCCTAATCAGGGGGTTATGAATTATCAATTACGCTTAGTGGTTAATTGCCCTTCATAAAGACAGCTTTTGTATTTTTAAATTAGGCAGTTAATATATTGTAACTAATAGCATCACCTTGTATATTACGGGCAGATCTTCCACTGATTGGCGCCTGGAATGTGTGATCCGCACCCAAGTTAATGGAGCAGTTGAGGGAAGAAGGTGGCGGGTGCCGGGGGACTAATTATTGCTAATGGATTACGATGTGACCTTCTCAGAACAGTGAGCAATTGGTGTGACGGTGAGATGACAGGACCTCGCAGCTGCTATTCCAAACACAGCTCTGATGCCCATGAAACACAGGTAAACAACAGAACTCACTGAAGACAGTTCTCCGCCAACACACGACGTACGTTTACTGAAGACGCACTGCTTTAAAATCAAAAGTACTCAAATGGAGAAAGTAACATGGAAACCTCTACACTACCATATGTAAAACAGATAGCCAGTGGGAATCTGCTATATGACTCAGAGAGCTCAACCCTGGACTCTGTGACCACCTAGAGGGGTGGGACGGTGCAGGAGGTGGGAGGGAGGTCAGACGGAGGGGACACGTGTACACCTGTGGCTGATTCACGTTGTTGTATGGCAGAACCAACATGATATTGTAGTTATCCTCCAATTAAAAATAAAATGAAATTACTAGTTTGGGGACTGAATCAGCCCCTGGACATCGGTGGGAAATGCTTAGGGAAGGCCCCTCACTGCTGGTCTGTCCTGTCCCTGACCACACCCTCTTTTCACTTTCTGGTATGAGCCCCAGGTCCTCTCTTCATTTTTCTTAATTACTAAAAGTAACAAAAGTACTGGTTGGATGGATGCGTGCATGCTGAGTCGTGTCTGACTCTTCGCAACCCTTCGGACTGTAGCCTGCCAGGCTCCTCGGTCCATGGGATTCTCCAGGCAAGAATACCAGCGTGGGTTGCCATTTTCTCCTCCAGGGGATCTTCCTGACCCAGGGATAGAACCATCGTCTCCTGTGTCTTCTGCATTGTAGGTGCATTTCTTTTTTTTTACCACTGAACCATCAAGGAAGCCCTAAAGTATTATTCATTATTATTAAAAATAGTAAAGGATGAATATGTTACATTCAGCCTTGCCTTGGGGGTAAGTATCAGGGACCTGATGTCATCCTCACCCCTTGAGGGCAGAGCCCCCTATGGACACCCTGTGTCCCCCGCATGCACCCCCAGGGCCAGGAGCCTGGAGTGCAGAAGGCTCTAAGCACCTGCCATATTGAGTCTGCGAGCTATGGAGGCAAGAACCAGGAGCCCCGTCCCAGGGATGAGAAAACAGGAGCTCCGGGAGGCAGACACCTGAGAAGGTCACCCCGCCCTCCATCTCGTAGGCTGACCCCCTCAGGAGGTAAATGAAGGTTAGGAGAGGATGGAAGGGTGGGGCTGAGACGTGACAGGATCACAGCCACAGACGCCAGGGATCCCTCTGCGACCACAGAGAGAAGGCCACGTCAGGGCACAGCTGAAGGGGGCGCCTAGCAAGCCGGGAAGAGGGCTCCCCCCCACCAGAAACCCACCCTAGAGGCACCTTGATCTCAGACGCCCAGACTTCAGGACTGGGGGCAGATAAACCTCTGTCGCTGAGCCCCGCCACGCTTGTGGTACTCCGGTTCCGGCAGACTAAGGCCGTGGGGGAACCAAAGCCTTGGCGACTCTTGGAGGGGTTGCTGCTAATATCAGATTCAGCCTTGGACGGCCTGGAACACATGAACCCAAAGTCAGGAGAGCGGGAGCCAGGTGTGGTTTCAGGGCCGCGAGCCCCAGGGACGCTGGCACCGGGCTGGGCCTGGCTCCAGGCCAGGCCAGGCCATCCCCGACCCCCAACACCCCAGGACCCTGGGGACAGAGGGCCTACCGCAGGGCCCGGCAGCCAGAGTGGGGCTCCGGCCGGACGTCCCCTCTGAGACCACAGCCACGTCCTCAGTCTGCTGCGCCTCCCCGGACCCCCCCGCCCCGAGCAGGTGGGGACTTGCCCCTACTTCCCACGGGCGCACCGGCTCTTTGAACTGACCTTTACCTCCTCCGAGAGGCCGGGACAAGCTCTGAGTGACAGCGTCGCCTGATGCCATTACCGAGCATCACATGAGCGGGTCCCTTGCAAATCACCTTGGACCTCACACATCTGCTAGCTGTCGGCATCTGCCAGGGGCGCTCACCCGAAAATAATGGAAACCCTCTCATTATCGCTCGGGAGCAGGTAGAGCGCTGGGACGATTACTGGACATCCTGGCTGACCTTGGCACAGCTCCACCGCCCAGTGCCTTCCGGGCTCACCAGAGAGGAGCTGGACAGAGGCAAGGAGGCTGCCCTGGGTAAGGCCCCTCCGAGCTCAGTCCCCAGCCGGCCCCCGCCACCTCTCACCTTCCTCTGACCCCGAAGGCCCTCGCATCACCCTAGGTCTTTGCTGTCACCCACCCCCTATGGCAAATCCTACGCGTCCTTCAAAGCCTGGTCCATATGTCCCTTCCTCCAGGAAGGCCCCCAGACTTCTCTCCCCGCCCAGGCAGAGTCTGTCCTCTTCCCTCTCGCCTTTCACAGCTCTAGAAGCACAGCAGCGCTTTTCTGTGAGACCCACTTAAGTGACCCAAATTCTCATGGAACCAACTCATTTTAGCACCCAGAGAACCTCGGGAGGGCTCACTGCCAATCCTGCCCGTGGGCAGCACTGCTTCAGCGTCTGTTAGGTTTACGGTTGGGGCTGGGGTTGGGGTTAGGGTTAGGGAAAGCACAGTGGAGCCTGATGAGTCCAGATGGGTAGACGGGAGGACGGGCCTTTGCACAGGGATGCAGGGCAAGTCATGCCTTCCTGCAGCCAAGGGACAAACGCATGAGACGCTCTAATGCTGAGCGGGAGGCCACGAGGTCAAGGAGCGACCCAGAGGGGCTCCAGGGTCTGATGACTATGGGCTGTGGCACCTCCACAAGCTACTTCTTCTCCCTGGGGCCCAGTTTCCTCATCCAGAAGATGGGATGATAACAGCCTCACATGCTGAACCTCCAGGGAGATATTCGAGGTGCCAGCTTGGGCCTGGCCCATGGTCAGAGCTCGCTCAGGGTGTGCGGAGAACATCGGCCAGTAAGTGGCCAGCAGACAGGCTCCCCAATCTCGTTCCCAGCCCCGCTCCCTGCCCCCACTGCCCAGAGCAGGCGGGCCCTCCCCCACCACACTCT